CCTGCTCTTTCGGTTATAAATTCCCACTTGCCCATGTGGTCTTGAGAGTTATCCCAAGCTCTATCTGTAGAGGACCCTGTACTCATCACTGTGGTGACCCTTACCTTGCTTTAACAAGCATAATTTGATAAGTTTTTAATGCATACACATAAAACAATTGGTGATATGTTATATATATGTTTTTTATGTTTATATATGTTTGCATATATATGTTATGGAAAATCCATACCACCCTTAAGATTTTTTTTTCTTTTTTTTTTTCTAGAGACGGTCTAGCTCTGTCACCTAGGCTGGAGTGCAGAGGTGCCTTCACTGCTCACTGCAGACTCCAGTTTCTGGGCTCAAGCGATTCTCCTGCCTTAGCCTCCTAAAGAACTGGGAATACAGGCTGAGTCACTGAGCTTACCTACCTATCTATCTAATCTCTCTCTCTTTCCCCTGTTGTTTTTAATTCTTTCACTTTGAAACATTATCCCATATTGCTCCTTAGTAAAATAAGTCAACCTGGACAGAAAAACCACAATGTGTATATATAATCAGGTATATAAAAGGCATAGAACTCGCTGAATATCATTCCTAACTTTGGAATTTTTCCCTGTCACCCCCTTAAAATTTTTATAATAGCAACCTTCTTCTATAAAATAACACAGATTTTTTTGAAAGTCAAATTACAAATAAAAAGAAAATGAGAAATTTATAACTTTGGGAACAGTCTGTTACACTGTCAAGCTTATGTCGTATCATGCAACAAATGAAATTCATGATGTATATGTATCTATACGTATTTGTTTTTAGACTAGTCAAGTGCAGTTGTGACAAGGCGGGAAAGAGTAGAGCGAGGAGTTCGATCTGTAACTGACTGTGAACAACCAACTGAGATAAGTCACAACCTTTGGACCAGCTATATTTTTGTAAGATGAAATCAGAGCATCAACACTGGGAAAACAGATAAGAGAGCTCCACTGGAGAAAAGGGAGCATAATGCATACACGAGTGATGACAAGGTTTCTCTGCTTCATCAAAATGTAGTCAGGCTTCTCCTCAGCCCATCTGTGGACCTCATTATAAAATCCAGTTTTGTGGATTTTATAGGGCACCGTGGCTCACGCCTATAATCTCAGTACTCTGGGAGGCCGAAGCGGGTGGATCATGAGGTCAAGACATCAAGACCATCCTGGTCAACATGGTGAAACCCTGTCTCTACTAAAAATACAAAAATTAACTGGGCACGGTGGCGCGTGCCTGTAATCCCAGCTACTCAGGAGGCTGAGGCAGGAGAATTGCCTTAACCCAGGAGGCAGAGGTTGCGGTGAGCTGAGATCGTGCCATTGCACTCCAGCTGGGGTAACAAGAGTGACACTCCATCTCAAAAAAAAAAAAAAATCTAGTTTTAACAAGGAAGTTTGTTTATCAAGAACCCTCTTCTCAGTCAGGTGTGATGGCTCATGCCTGTAATCCCAGTACTTTGGGAGGCCAAGGCAAGTGGATCATGAGGTCAGGAGTTCGAGGCCAGCCTGACCAACATGGTGAAACCCTGTCTCTACTATAAGTACAAAAATTAGCTTGGTGTGGTGGTGTGGGCCTGTAACCCGAGCTACTCAGGAGGCTGAAGCAGGAGAATCACCTGAACCTGGAAGGCAGAGGTTGCAGTGAACTGAGATTACACCACTGCACTCCAGCTTGGACAACAGAGAGAGCCTCCGTCTCAATAAATTAATAAATAAATAAATAAAAATCAAAAAGAACCCTTTTCTCCTTGATATCTGATACCCGTGATATCTGATCAGATTCATCTTCCACCATCTTCCAAGTGACACGTGATCTCTCTGGCCCATCTTTAACAAGAATCTTGTTTAGGTCAGTTTAGCCAGAATCCCCCTTATCCCTGATGTTTCCTTTTAGTAATTTTCCATTCATGGACTCCCGCCCCGCCAACCCTGCTTCTTGATTATAAAGTCCCATTTTTCCATGGTGTCTTTGGAGTTCAGAGCGGGCTCCATTCCACTGCAAAATCCCATTGCATTGGTCCCTATATCTACCACAATGGTCCTGAATAAAGTTTTCTGTACCATGCTTTAATAAGTATCACTGAATATATGTATTTTTCAGTTAGCTATTCATCTTTGGTCCCCTGAATCTCTCACCTGGGACGTCAGTGTGCACCTCTGAAACCTTGTCTTTACTCCTAATAAATTGATTGGGGATCCAAGGTGAATTAGCCTCCAAAGCCATTGCTCTGGACGAATGCCCACTAAAGCTTGTAATGATAGGTTTTGATTGTGTGTGTGTGTAGACGGTCTCACTATCTCACTATATTGCCAGACTGGTTAAAACCCTGGGTTCACGCCATTCTCTTGCCTCAGCCTCTGAAAATGCTAGAATTACAGGCAGGAGCCACCACACCTGGCCTTGCTTAAGATTCAGAGTATAGTCTGAAGCTGGATTAGATTTCCAGGCATCTTTTGAAAGGTACTTCCTGGAATAGGCCTTTTTCCTGGCTCTTTGTAGGGTGAAAATTATTCCCTGACCCTTGAGCTGCACCTCTACTCTTCCCGGCTCTTGTGGGAGGCCAGAATATGCCACCCTAAAACAGGAAGCATTGCGGAGCTGAAGACAATTAAGAAGAGGCAGATGCAGGAAAGGTTTTTGTTCTTCCTCTACTTGGCGAAAAGCAAGACATAGATTTGCAAAGAGAAAAGGTACCCTCTCCCTCCCCACTCCCCACACTAACAATTCTACCAGGGAGAACAAAGGCTAACCACTGAAGAAAACTTTAGACCCTGGTCAGCCTGGAAAGAAAGGAATCTATATTAACATGCGTATTGACTGACTTTTATCTGCCATTTATTTTTGCCTTGGCATAAATTGTCAACTCTAGAGACTCAATCTCATTTTTCTTTTTCTCTTTTCTTTTTTTTGAGACAGAGTGTCGCTCTTGTTGCCCAGGCTAGAGTGCAATGGTGTGATCTCAGCTTACCACAACCTCCGCCACCCAGGTTCAAGAGATTCTCCTGCCTCAGCCTGCCCAGTGGTTGGGACTACAGGCATGCGGCACTACGCCCAGCTAATTTTTGTATTTTTAGTAGAGACAGGGTTTCTCCATGTTGGTCAGGCTGGTATTGACTCCAGAACTCAGGTGATCTGCCCATCTTGGCCTCCCAAAGTGCTGGGATTACAGGCCTAAGTCACTGCACCTGCCTCAAGCCCCTTTTTCTTTGTCTTTTCACTTCTCTAAAAATTTACTGTTCTCTGCTGAAGATGCTATATATGCTGGAATTCAAAGCCACTTCTTTGAGAACTACTAATTCTCTGGGTATTTTCCATGTGTAGATGAAATATACACATTAATAAACTTGTTTGCTTTTCTCATTTTTTTTTTGTTTTTTTGAGATGAAGTTTCACTCTTGTTGCCCAGGTTGGAGTACACGGTGCAGTATCGGCTCACCATAACCTCTGCCTCCCGGGTTCTAGAGACTGTCACTGCCTTCCTAACTTCACCCTCTAAAGATAAGCCCAAATCTAAACAATCTTGACTGGCTGATTTCTGGACTCAGAAGCTGAGTTTACAATTTATTCCAAATATTAATCTTTTTTATTTTCACATAAACTAAGCTCTTCTCATTAAAAGCCTGACAGCTACAACCACCGAGCAGTTACCTTCTACCAAGTCCCAACAAATGTTACAGCTGGTTCCTAATGAACAAACAGCAACCTAACAAAAAATAGACTAACGCTATACAAATAAAAGACTGTGTCTTCTTTAATTCAATGAGAGTGGGTCGCACAAAGTTTCTCTGCTTGACCAAAATTTAATCAGGCTTCTGAATCTTTTTCCTAGGCCCAACTGTGCACATCTTTGTAAAATCCAATTTTAGCGAAGAACCCTGCTAAATAAGTCTAGCAAGAATCATCCATCCTTTAAATCTCACTGCCCCTGAGGTTTCATCAGTTTCCTCGTCCTCTACCATTCCCCAGGTGATGTGTGAGCATCCGATCTTGCCTTCTGCAAGACTCCTGTTCGGTTGTCTGGGCTAATAATAGAACCCTCCTGGCTCCTCTTGTTTCATCCATCCTCAGATGTTTCCTTAGTAATTTTGCATCCACTCCCTCTCACCCTGCTCCTTGGCGATACATTCCCACTTAGACATGCTGCATGTGGAGTTGAGCCCAATCTCTCTCCCCGACTGCAAAATTCCATTGCAGTGGTCCCTACACCTACTGATAGCATTGAATAAAAACTTCCTGTGTTCCAACAAGTGTCACTGAATTCTGTATTATTCCACGGTGATCAAAACAATTGAAAGTTCAGTGGCTCCTCTGAAAAGAATTCTGAGCCGGGCGCGGTGGCTCACGCCTGTAATCCCAGCACTTTGGAAGGCCGAGGCGGGTGGATCACTTGAGGTGAGGAGTTCAAGACCAGCCTGGCCAACATGGTGAAAGCCCGTCTCTACTAAAAATACAAAAATTAGCCGGGCGTGGTGGCGGGAGCCTGTAATCTAAGCTACTGGTGCATGAAAGAGCACAAGACAAACCTGAAATTTACCTTTATGGAAATGCTACTTCGGTTTAAATAAATGAAACCGGGATAATAGCTTTAACATAGCTTTAAAAATATTTGAAAGACCAAAGACGTGAGATAAAAGAGAAATAAAATATTATGCAGTCGTTTATACATGACTTATGCTCATTATAAAAAAAACCCCCCCAAAAAAAGTGTACGGAAATAAAACGGCACCACCTGGTATTTCTGAGAAAAGGTGAATTAATCTACAGGCTGAAATTCTAAACGCAAGAATTCCGCACTCCCTACCTCTCGAGGCACTCAGTCGAGGGATGGCCGAGCACCGGGGGCCGCCGGTCTCTGCAACGCCCGCAGCGCACGAAAATTCCAGAGAGGAGCGGGGTGGGGGGAAGCCATGGGAGGCTCTGAGAAGGGTCATTGCCCCCCCGACGCCGCGCCCCTCCCACGCCACGCCCATCCCCACGCCGCGCCCCTCCCACGCCACGCCCCTCCCACGCCGCGCAGCTTAGGGGCTGATAATATCGGCCCTCGCAGGCCGCCGTCCACCTGCATCCAAGCCGTGAGCTAACGAGGAGCTTCCGGCGCACGCAGACCCGCTGAGCTTCCCCCTAGGCAGCCGCCATGCCAGGCCAGGCGCAGTGCTGGAACCCGAGGCAAGGCCCCAGGGCTCCCACTTCGGGACAGTGACACGAAAACTGCCGGCTGCCCATTTCCCGCTATCCTGCCAGACGGTCCAGAAGTAAAGATTGCAAATGAACACAGAGAAAGTTTCAAATCGGATGCGCTGTAAAATTTATGCGCGTGAAAGCTGAGTTCGTGGCGACAGGCTAAAGGGAAATCACAGAGTTCAGGGCGGAATGCGTTTTCCTGTTGGCGAATGCTCTGTAAGTTTTGCTGAGAATGGATGCGTTTGCCTGGGCTCACGCCTATAATCCCAGCACTTTGGGAGGCCGAGGCGCGCAAGTCACGAGATCATGAGATCGAGACCATCCTGGCCAACATGGTGAAACCCCGTCTCTACTAAAAGTACAAAAAAATTAGCGGGGCATGGTGGCGCAGGCCTGTAGTCGCGGCTACTCAGGAGGCCGAGGCGGGAGGATTGCTCAAACCCAGGAGGCGGAGGTTGCAGTGAGCCGAGATCGCGCCACTGCGCTCCAGCATGGCGGCAGGGTGAGACTGTTTCAAAAACAAAACAGAAAATGGACTAATTTTACTTAAAACCCCAACTACTAATTCTCAGCCTAGTAATTGGTTGAGTAAAAAATAATAAAACAAGACTTCCGAGTTAATACCTAAATTAAACAATGTTATGCTTTGAATAAAAAAAAAAACCCTCCTTATTTCAGACCTCAGAAAATGCTTCCAAGCATGGATGGAACGTGGATATTGTCCCTGAAACAAGGATTTCAAGGAGATACAGAGAGAAGTAAAGAGATCATGTACTTGGAAAAAAATGTTGAATGTAATTAACAAAACTTCAGAGGTTACAAGAATGAACTAAATTACTAAATCTAGTTACTACATCAAAATTAGTAATGAGATATCATCTTGAAATAAAAAATTAGCAAATTATGGTAAACAAATAATATTAGGCAAAAATATAATTCCCCCAAAGAAACCAATGGTGAAAATAAATTGATACACTTTTCTCTGTCAGATTAGAAATCTTTTTAAGAACAATCTACCAAGGATTTACGCTAAAACATTACATTTATTTTATGAGCTATCTAGTAACTGATGAAAAAAATTATGCACTTGCATGTAAACACACATTTATGGAAGGATGAATTTGCAGTTTGACATGGGACAAACTCAGTAGAACAGACTTTCTTTTGTTGTTGGTTTGTTGCCCAGGCCGAAGTACAGTGATGCGACCTCAGCTCACTGCAACCTCTGCCTTCCAAGTTCAAGCAGTTCTACCTCAACTCCCCAGTAGCTGGGATTACAGGCACCCACCACCATACCCTGCTAATTTTTGTATTTTTAGTATAGATGGGGTTTCACTATGTTGACCAGGCTGGTCTCAAACTCCTGGGTTCCAGAGATCCACCCCTATCGAACTCCTGAAGTGCTGGGATTACAGGCATGAGCCACCATGCCCAGCCTTGAACTGATTTTTCTTTCTTTTTTTATTTATTCTTTCTTTTTTTTCTTTTTGAGACGGAGTTTTGCTCTTGTTACCCAGGCTGGAGTGCAATGGCGTGATCTTAGCTCACCACAACCTCCACCTCCTGGGTTCAGGCAATTCTTCTGCCTCAGCCTCCTGAGTAGCTGGGGTTACAGGCACGCACCACCATGCCCAGCTAATTTTTTTTTTTTTTGTATTTTTAGTAGAGATGGGGTTTCACTATGTTGACCAGGATGGTCTCGATCTCTTGACCTCGTGATCCACCCACCTTGGCCTCCCAAAGTGCTGGGATTACAGGCTTGAGCCACCACGCCTGGCCTCCTTTTCTTTCTCTTTTTCTTTCTGTTTTTTTTTTCTCTCTTTCTTTCTGTTTCTTAATCTCTTTCTCTCTCTCTTTCTTTTCTTTTCCATATTCCTTTCTTTTTCTGAGGGCATGTCTTGCTCTGTTGCCCGGGCTAGAGTGCAGTGGTGGGGTGGATCACATGAGGTCAGGAGTTTGACACCAGCCTGACCAACAAGGTGAAACTCCATCTCTACTAGAAGTACAAAAATCAGCTGGGCAGGGTGGTGCAAGCCTGTAATCCCAGCTACTCCAGGAGGCTCAGGCAAGAGAATCACTTGAACCTGGGAGGCAGAGGTTGTAGTGAGCTGAAATCACACCATTGCACTCCAGCCTGGGTGACAGAGTGAGACTCTGTCTCAAAAAAAAAAAAGAAGGAAAAAGAAAATTGTTTTTATAGGCTGGGTTTGGTGGCTCACACCTATAATCCCAGCACTTTGGAAGGCCAAGGCAGACAGATTACCTGAGGTCAGGAGTTTGAGACCAGCCTGAGCAACATGATGAAACCCCATCTCTACTAAAAATACAAAAATTAGCCAGGCATGGTGGTACATGCCTGTAATCCCAGCTACATGGGAGGCTGAGGCAGGAGAATCACTTGAACCCAGCAGGTGGAGGTTGCAGTGAGCTGAGATTGTGCTACTGCCATCCAGTCTGGGCGACAGAGGGAGACTCTGCCTCAAAAAAAAACAAACAACCTCAGTGTGTGCTTGTGGGAATATATGCTATCAGATGGGAAGATGATAGAGCAAAGGAGAAGGTAAGATGGAGAAAGGATATTGAAGAAGTCAGTAACTGTGCCACGTGCTTTGAGATGACAATCATACTTAATGATGAAAAGCCAGTTTGACTGTCTCTGATTATGTCACTTTACATCCCATTCCTCCCACTTGGGGTAGGGTACCAAGTCAAGAGTATGTGGCCACAGTTAGTCTTTTTTTTTTTTTTTTGAGACAGAGTTTCGCTCTTATTACCCAGGCTGGAGTGCAATGGCGCGATCTCAGCTCACCGCAACCTCCACTTCCTGGGTTCAGGCAATTTCCTGCCTCAGCCTCCTGAGTAGCTGGGATTACAGGCACGCGCCACCGTGCCCAGCTAATTTTTTGTATCTTTAGTAGAGACGGGGTTTCACCATGTTGACCAGGATGGTCTCGATCTCTTGACCTCGTGATCCACCCGCCTCGGCCTCCCAAAGTGCTGGGATTACAGGCGTGAGCCACCGCGCCCGGCCTACACAGTTAGTCTTACTTTGTTCATACCTAACATGTCAAAAAGAAATGGGGTAACATTAGGGGTTTTAGCAAATGGAAATAATAAATGCATGTGAGAAATAACTAAAATGAATGATAATTGAATCCCTTTTCAGGAATTCAATTAAATGTATCATTCATTTTGGTTATTGAATGACTTTGACTCTGCTCAAAAGAAAATGGTAAAGCCCTACACTGAGCCTACCATTTTACTCACAGGAATGTAAGTGAAACAGGGACAGTCCTTACCTGGAGAGGTGCCCCACGTGGCTGCTAGCTGTGTGGAGATTTGATGGGAGCCCCAATTACCTTCGTCCAAGTATCTGTTAAAGCAATATTCAATGATACTTGTTAAAGCACAGTAAGGAAGACTTATTCAGGACCACTGCAATAGACATGGGACCACTGTAATGGGGCCTTGCAGTGTGGGAGAGAGTCAGACTCAACCGTAAGTAACTGTGAGTACAGCATGGGAAAGTGGCCTTTTACAGCCACAGAACGAAGTGGGGACTGGTGGTTGGAAAATTACTAAGATTTAATATCCGGGGCAAGCGGGATTCTGGCTAAACTGACCTAACAGGATTCTTGCTGAAGACAGGCTGAGATGATCACCTAAGGGATGGTGGAGGATGAGGAACCTGGTAAGATTCTGAAGGTGATCAGATGTCTAAGGTGTGGGCATCTTGCTACACTAACTTAGCAGTGTTCTTGCTAAAACTGTATTTTACAAAAAAGTGCACGGATAGAGTTAGGAGAAAGCTCTGGAGCCTTACTAATGTTTGCATAAGAAGAGAATGTTTGACACATCCTCCAAAATTAGAGAAAGAGAAGTGAGGCTATACACTGCGAATGCAGAAACAGAAACCAGATAGATGCTGGGTCCATGAGGACATTCTTCAACTTCGAAAAAGAGTTCTGTCTGTTCACACTATTATTTTGAAATGCATATGAAAAATAAAGTCATTGCATTTCTATGCAGCTGTACTAACTGTGTTTTACATCCTGATACTTAAATATGGCCATGCAACATGTGGGCAACGCTCTAACAACAACACAGCACCAGTCAGCCCTAAGGTTCTAAATCCTCTTACCTCTTTTTTTTTGAGACGGAGTTTCGCTCTTGTTACCCAGGCTGGAGTGCAATGGAGCGATCTCAGCTCATCGCAACCTCTGCCTCCTGGGTTCAGGCAATTCTCCTGCCTCAGCCTCCTGAGTAGCTGGGATTACAGGCACGCGCCACCATGCCGAGCTAATTTTTTGTATTTTTAGTAGAGACGGGGTTTCACAATGCTGACCAGGATAGTCTCGATCTCTTGACCTCGTGATCCACCCACCTCGGCCTCCCAAAGTGCTGGGATTACAGGCTTGAGCCACCGCGCCTGGCCCTCCTAAATTCTCTTATTTCAAGGTACAGCTGGGAATACTGGTAGGCCTAACTGTAGTATATTTAAATGTTAAGTCTCGGTGCAAGGCATCTCAGCCGGGCGCGGTGGCTCATGCCTGTTATCACAGCACTTTGGGAGGTCAAGGCAAGAGAATTACTTGAGGTCAGGAGTTCAAGACCAGTGGGGCCAGCATGGCGAAACCCTATCTCTACTAAAAATACAAAAACTAGCTGTGCGTGGTGGCAGGTACCCATGATGCCAGCTTTTGGGAAGCTGAGGCAGGTGAATCACTTGAACCAGGGCGGAAGAGTTGGTAGTAAGCCAGGATGGCGTCACTGCACTCCACCCTGGGGGACAAAGCAAGGACACAGACAAAGAAAAGTCTACCAAACTGAATCCAAAGTAAGCAGGAGAAAAGAAAACATTGTAAATAAAGTGAAAGGTCGGTAAAGATAACAGGAATTTTCAAATGAATATTGAGAGTTTAATAGTTTCCAGAACACAGATGTGTTCTCTTTATACTTTGATATCTTATTGCCACCAAGATGAGTCCATTCTTCATTCTTACGACCTTTTTTTTTTTTTTTGAGATGGTAACCAGGAAAACATAACACCCTAAACTGAACTCCTGCTCATCAATATGCAGGGCTGGCTCCCCCTGAAAGGAGGAGACATGAATCTTCAGGAATGATTAACCAAAGGCATACATAAACTGAGCTTCCGGCTATGATCAGAGAGGAAGCGGGACATGCCTCGTTATCATCTGTCACCTTTGCAGTTTAGACACAACACCTGACCAGCATTGATGTCAAAAGGTCATAAGGGGCTGGGGGTGGTGGCTCAAGCCTGTAATCCCAGCACTTTGGGAGGTCGAGGCGGGTGGATCACGATATCGAGACCATCCTGGCCAACATGGTGAAACCCTGTCTCTACTAAAAATACAAAAAATTAGCTGGGCATGGTGGTGCGCGCCTGTAATCCCAGCTACTCAGGAGGCTGAGGCAGGAGAATTGCCTGAACCCAGGAGGCGGAGGTTGCGGTGAGCCGAGATCGCGCCATTGCACTCCAGCCTGGGTAACGAGAGTGAAACTCCATCTCAAAAAAAAAAAAAAAGGTCGTAAGAATGAAGAATGGACTCATCTTGGTGGCAATAAGATATCAAAGTATAAAGAGAACTAAGGCCACGCCAGGCAAGGGTTAAGTCACTCACCCCTGCACTTGAAGAATAAACTATGTTCTAATTGAAACTGACAGGTTTATCTTTTTCTCTAGCAGCTAAGCAAGTAAAGACTTCCAGATAAGCAATCTTAACACAATTGGTAGCTCATCCACCACCAGATGCTGACTCCAGCCCCTGTTCCAACAGCCATAATTGTAGCCTTGATTGCACAGGAGACTGATATTAGTAACTTTCCCCTGATAAGAGCCCACCAACTATGGACTGGGTCTGACTGGCTTACAGGGATTGTGTACGTGCCTGCCTTTGTGTGCTGAAAAGGGCTTTTGTCTGTAGGGCCTAACTGTAATACATTTAAATGCTAAGTCTTGGCCGGGTGCAGTGGCTCAGGCCTGTTATCACAGCACTTTGGGAGGCCAAGGTGGGCGGATTACCTGAGGTCAGGAGTTTAAGACCAGCCTGGACAACATGGCGAACATCTTCTCTACTAAAAATACAAATATAAGCTGTGCTTGGTATCTGGCAGGTGCCTGTAATCCCAGTTGTTTGGGAAGCTGAGGCAGGTGAATCACTTGAACCCAGGAGGCAGAGGTTGCAGTGAGCCAAGATGGCACCATGGTACTCCAACGTGCGGGACAGATAAGACTGCGTCTCAAAAAAAAAAAAAAAGAGAAAACATTGTCTCCACATCAAGGTGAACATGCATGTTTGTGCAGTATACATACCATAGGGCCGCCTTCAAGAATATTTGTAGCTCTTTTTCTTTCCAAATTTATAGATCTCATAATTTTTATACTAATAAATATATGCCCTAAAACCACAATAAAATTAAGCTGGATATCATCAAAGGCAGGTAGCTGGTAAACATCAGAATACATGGAGATTAACTAAGTCACTTTTTTTTTTTTTGAGATGGAGTTTCGCTCTTGTTACCCAGGCTGGAGTGCAATGGCGCGATCTCGGCTCACCGCAACCTCCACCTCCTGGGTTCAGGCAATTCTCCTGCCTCAGCCGCCTGAGTAGCTGGGATTACAGGCACGCACCACCATGCCCAGCTACTTTGTTGTATTTTTAGTAGAGACGGGATTTCACCATGTTGACCAGGATGGTCTCGAACTCTTGACCTCGTGATCCACCCGTCTCGGTCTCCTAAAGTGCTGGAATTACAGGCTTGAGCCACCGCGCCCGGCCCTACTAAATCACTTTTAAACCACACATAATGCAAGAAATCTTAAGAGAAAATTAAACAATATGTTAAACTAAATTCAAATTAAAATGAATTTTATCAGAATTTGGAGCATGCAGTAAGGGAATAGAGGGGTAATATGCATCTGTTAAAAATAAAAACATCGCCTGGTGCAGTGGCTCACACCTATAATCACAACATTTTGGGAGGCTTAGCTGGGCGGATCACCTGAGGTCAGGAGTTGGACCAGCCTGTCCAACATGGTGGAACGCTGTCTCTACTAAACACACAAAAATTAGCCGGGCATGGTGGCGGGAGCCTGTAATCCCAGCTACTAGGGAGGCTGAGCCAGGAGAATGGCTTGAATCCAGGAGGTGCAGGTTGCAGTGAGCCCAGATCATGCCATTGTACTCCAGCTGGGTGACATGAGCAAAACCTAGCCTCACACACACAAAAAAGAAAACATCTGAAAATCAATCACCTAAATTTCCTCCTTAGGAAGCTTAAAAGGTAAATCTAGCAAACTGAATGCACAGTAAACAGGAGAAAAGAGAAACTATTGTAAATAAAGTGAAAGATAAAAGATAAAGGAAAAGGAATTTTCAAAGGAATATAGAGTGTAATCGTTTCCAGAACACAGATGTGTCCAAAGTTAACTAGGGAAACACAACACCCTAAACTGAACTCCTGCTCATTAACCTGCAGGGCTGGCTCCCCCTGGGATGAGGAGACATGAATCTTCAGGAATAATTAACCAAAGGCAGACCAAGCAGGGCAATTCATTTAGCTACTAAAGTGGAAAATACGGTAGCCAGGAATAATCCACCCATAGGGAATGTGGGTGAATTTTGCTAGGTACACAGGAAAGGATACACGTGGTAGAAAGAAGTGAAAATCCATCTTATGGTCTCAGAACCATGAGAAAGTGATGAGGATTCTGTAAGAATGTCAGAACACGGAAGAGGACATGCACACACAGTTTGGTGCACACGTGTATGTCCATGGAGAAAAAGCTCTAAAAGGCTGCACACTGCCCACCACCATCACTGCAGCCACCTCTGCAGCCCCCTGCCAACCCTTACTGGAATTTACCTGGGTTGTTCATTCTGTGCAGCTGCAAACTCGCCTCATCTGCAGTTTCCTCTGAGGTGGCTCTCACCCCGTGATGCCAGGTGGCCATGTGAGGTGGCCTCACCCCGTGATGCCAGGTGGCCATGTGAGGTGGCCTCACCCCGTGATGCCAGGTGGCCGTGTGAGGTGGCTCCCGAGTGAGGTGGCTCTCACCCCGTGATGTCAGGTGGCCGTGTGAGGTGGCTCCCGAGTGAGGTGGCTCTCACCCCGTGATGTCAGGTGGCCGTGTGAGGTGGCTCTCACCCCGTGATGCCAGGTGGGCATGTGAGGTGGCCCTCACCCTGTGATGCCAGGTGGCCATGAGCCACCAACTGTGAATCTGCCATCCAGCGATCCAACCTACATCTGCAAGATGGCTGAGGGGACAGAAACTTCTCTGCCCTTCCTAACCCTTGCCCCTCCCCAGCACCAACACTTCCTGGTAATGCTACTGCTCCTTCCCATCAAACAAGGACTATCCTCACTTGTTCCAACTGCCTTCCTTATCAGTAGATCTCATGGACTCTGGGTAACTCTTAAAAGAAGAAAACGCATTCAAATTTCTCCCCACAGAATGCAGTCTCAGGGAGCAGCCTCTGCATCACCTTCGGAGCTGCCATCCCTGCCCTCCCAGTCCCTCCATGGTGTGTCCTTCCTGCTCCTGCCTCTTCACACAGTACTCATCCCAGCCATCCTTCCAAACCACTGTCCTTTCCTCACGCCCTGGCCTGTGTCATGACACGGTTTCCTCTTCTCTTTCCTTCCCCTGTCTGCTGGACCCCCTGCCTCTCACCCTCCAGGATATCCTCCAATGTTCCTCCTCCAGGAAGACCCCCTTGTCCATCCCATCCCAGGTCTGATGCCTGTCCCCTGAGTTCTCAAGGGCAGCTCTGTACTTGCAGTTAATTTCCGTTAATTTTCCTGATTCCTCACTTGTCTTAAATATCTGATTTGGAAATTGTCTATGTTGTTCCCCTGTGAACCCCACACAAGCTGTGGACAAAGAGCAACACAGGAGATTTTGTTTTTTATTGTATTTCACTAGTGAATCCGTGACTCCCCTAACCAAATTCGTGCCCAGTTTCCTACACACTCCATGTCTCTTTCAATCTCTTTCCATCTGAAGAGGGTTAGTCCTTGACATGAGCCTGCTTCTTGTCCTCCCTTCAGTTCTCCCACCAGGATGTGAACCCTGAGTCTGCCCAGCCATGTCTCCAGCCTCCCCATTCTCAGTGCACTGCAGAGCCCCTCTCTTGGGCCATGCTGCTTCTACCTCATCTGTCCCTCTTCTGTTCTTCTGGACAGTTTTGTGCTCACAGACCTAGGAGAAGTATTTTGTTTTCTAAAATTCACCTACAATACTATGGCCCCCTTGATAAATATTTCCAACTTTATTGTCATATGTCATCATTTTTATTCGTTCCTTTTTTCTCCAAATTTTATCACAATAGCTCTAAGCCTACTGGTAGCCATGACATCCTTTCCTTTCTTTCTTATAGAGAGAGAGTGTCTAGCTCTGTTGCCCAGGTTGGAGTGCATTGGTGTGATCAGGGCTCACTGCAACCTCTGACTCCTGGGTTCAAGTGACTCTCCTGCCTCAGCCTCCCAAGCAGCTTGGATTCCAGGTGTTCACCACCACACCTGGCAAATTTAGTATTTTTAGTACAGATGGGGTTTCAACATGTTGGTGAAGTTGTTCTTGAACTTCTGACCTTGTGAGTACTGGGATTACAGGCGTGAGCCACGGCGCCTTGCCTGTTCAGTTTTTAACACTCAGATAAATGTGTCTAAATTAAAGTATGTCTCTGTTGTAATCATGAGACGCACAACACAAATTCATCTTGTGGGACATTCTAGAAAATACCTAAGCCGGGCACGTTGGCTCAAGTCTGTAATCCCAGCACTTTAGGAGGCTCAGATGGGTGGATCACAAGGTCAAGAGATTGAGACCATCCTGGTCAACATGGTGAAACCCCATCTCTACTAAAAATACAAAAAAATTAGCTGGGCATGGTAGCGCGTGCCTGTAATCCCAGCAACTCAGGAGGCTGAGGCAGGAGAATTGCCTGAAGGCGGAGGTTGCGGTGAGCCCAGATCACGCCATTGCACTCCAGCATGGGTAACGAGAGTGAAACTCCGTCTCAAAAAAAAAGAAAAGAAAATACCTAATGGTTACTTTTCAAATGAGTTCAGCTTATACAAAATAATCAAACACTGAGAAACTGTTGCAGGTTGGAAAAGATCTGTCAGAGCAGGCAGACCCTAAAGTGGCCCCTATTGAATCCCACCTGCTGATCAACACAACCCTGCATTCTAATCTTCTCCCTGTAAGTGTGAGCAGGAAGCTTGACTTATTCTGACACAGGAGAATAGTGCACCGCTGAAGGTATGTCACGTGGCTAATTATGCTATGTAAAATGGTTCTTTCTGTCTTGCTAGCAAACCTTTCCCTTTGTAGCTTTCATGGAGCATTCTGCCATGTGGGGGAAGCCAACATGGGAAGGAGCTGAATGCAGCCTCTGGAAAAGAGCCATCAAGGAATGGAGGACCTTAATCCAATAGCCAGTCCTTAAATTTACAATTAACTCAAACTCCGTTTCAAATAAGAATCTATCAGTTCACAAGGAGTGTGAGTTGCTTATAATAAGAAAACAACCCTAATTTGTACCTTCGGTAATTCGTACTATTGATTTATTGCGTTTATATGTGAGCACTCATGCACACACACACACACATACATGCACACACTCAAACTGTAAACATAAGAATACCTCATCAAATAAGTGGTTACAATTTTTGTTGTCAGTAAACTGTTATCTGTTACGTCAACTAAAATACGGAAAAGGTTTTACTTCATATGACAACCATAATGATATTTTTAAATCAAAGGAAAACGTAACCGATATACTAAGAAGAATAGATTGGATCATATACAATTTTATATTAAAACCATAAAGGGAAGGAAAGAAATGTAAGAAAGGAAGAGCACATTGTGTTAACTCAAATGTCAGGCACAAAAAGACAAATGCGTCATGATCTTACTCACGCGAAATCTAAAAAACGTGATTCCATACAAGTGAGTGCAGAACGGTCGTTCCCATAACCTGGGTTGGGGTGGGGTTGGGCAGATGTTTGCGGAGGAATATGAAATTTCAGTCAGAAAGGAGGAAGAATTTCAAGAGATCTACTGTGCAACATGGTCTCCATAGTTAGTAACATATGGTCTTATTTTTTAAATGCTGAAAGTTACCTGGCCATGGTGGTCTGCACCTGCAGTCCCAGCTACTTGGGAAGCTGAGGCAGGAGGATTGCTTGGGCTTAGGAGGTCGACACTGCAGTGAGCTATGATAGAACCACTGTACTCCAGCCTAGGTGCAGAGGGAGATCTGTGTCTATTTTTAAAAAATGCTAAAAAGTGGATAGAAAATGTTCTCAGCACAAAAATGATAACTATGTGAGGTAACACCCATGTTAATTAGCTGGATTTCGCTCATTCTTACTCAGACCTGATGGCATACATAGTATATATATATATCTCATTTTATCTGTTAATTAATAAAAATGGAGATACATATTAACTAAAAGTAAATAGATGGAACAAAATATAGCAAGCAAATAGAAGAAGCAGGACTGGCTGTATTAATGTCAGAAAAAGCTGACTATAACGTCAGGAAATTATCAGGGAAACAGAAGAGCATTACATCATAATGGGGCCACTTATCCAGGAACATGAGATGATTGTAACATGTAGTACCACAACATAAAACTCTGACGCAGAAACTGTTAAAAAAAGGAAACAGAGATGAATCCACTAATTACGGTCAGTGACTTTAACACTTTAATTCTGTGAGAATTAAAATCAAAACCCTAAGCCCCTCAACTGACTCAACAGAGAGAACACTAGGGAAACCGTCACAGCTGAGCTTCCGGCAATGATCAGAGAGGAAGCGGGACATGCCTCGTTGTCAAGTGTCTCCTTTGCAGTTTAGACACGACAACTGACCAGCATCGATGTTAAAAGGTCAAAAGAATGAAGAATGGACTCATCTTGGTGGCGATAAGATATCAAATTATAAAGAGACCTAAGGCCACGCCAGGCAAGGGTTAAGTCACTCACCCCTGCACTTGAAGAATAAACTATGTTCTAATTGAAACTGACAGGTTTATCTTTTTCTCTAGCAGCTAAGCAAGTAATGACTTCCAGATAAGCAATCTTAACACAATTTGTAGCTCATCCACCGCCAGATGCTGACTCCAGCCCCTGTTCCAACAGCCATAATTGTAGCCTTGATTGCACAGGAGACTGATATTAGTAACTTTCCCCTGATAAGAGCCCACCAACCATGGACTGCGTCTGACTGGCTTACGGAGATTGTGTACGTGCCTGCCTTTGTGTGCTGAAAAGGGCTTTTGTCTGTAGGGCCTAACTGTAATACATTTAAATGCTAAGTCTTGGCCGGGTGCAGTGGCTCAGGCCTGTTATCACAGCACTTTGGGAGGCCAAGGTGGGCGGATTACCTGAGGTCAGGAGTTCAAGACCAGCCTGGCCAACATGGCGAACATCTTCTCTACTAAAAATACAAATATAAGCTGTGCTTGGTATCTGGCAGGTGCCTGTAATCCCAGTTGTTTGGGAAGCTGAGGCAGGTGAATCACTTGAACCCAGGAGGCAGAGGTTGCAGTGAGCCAAGATGGCGCCATGGTACTCCAACGTGGGGGACAGAGTAAGACTGCGTAAAAAAAAAAAAAAAAGAGAGAAAACGTTGTCTCCACATCAAGGTGAACATGCATGTTTGTGCAGTACACATGCCGTAGGGCCGCCTTCAAGAATATTCGTAGCTCTTTTTCTTTCCAAATTTATAGATCTCATAATTTTTATACTAATAAATATATGCCCTAAAACCACAATAAAATTAAGCTGGAAATCATCAAAGGCAGATACCTGGTAAACATCAAAATACATGGAGATTAACTAACCCCCATTTAGCAACACATCATGCAAGAAATCTTAAGAGAAAATTAAACAATATGTTGAACTAAATTCAAATTAAAATGAATTTTATCAGAATTTGGAGCATGCAGTAAGGGAATAGAGGGGGAATATGCATCTATTAAAAATAACAACATCGGCTGGTGCAGTGGCTCACACCTGTAATCACAACAGTTTGGGAGGCTTAGCTGGGCGGATCACCTGAGGTCAGGAGTTGGACCAGCCTGTCCAACATGGTGGAACGCTGTCTCTACTAAACACACAAAAATTAGCCGGGCATGGTGGCGGGAGCCTGTAATCCCAGCTACTAGGGAGGCTGAGCCAGGAGAATGGCTTGAATCCAGGAGGTGGAGGTTGCAGTGAGCCCAGATCATGCCATTGTACTCCAGCTGGGTGACATGAGCAAAACCTAGCCTCACACACACAAAAAAGAAAACATCTGAAAATCAATCACCTAAATTTCCTCCTTAGAAAGCTTAAAAGGTAAATCTAGCAAACTGAATGCACAGTAAACAGGAGAAAAGAGAAACTATTGTAAATAAAGTGAAAGATAAAAGATAACGGAAAAGGAATTTTCAAAGGAATATAGAGTTCAATCGTTTCCAGAACACAGATGTGTCCAAAGTTAACTAGGGAAACACAACACCCTAAACTGAACTCCTGCTCATCAACCTGCAGGGCTGGCTCCCCCTGGGATGAGGAGACATGAATCTTCAGGAATGATTAACCAAAGGCAGACCAAGCAGGGCAATTCATTTAGCTACTAAAGTGGAAAATACGGTAGCCAGGAATAATCCACCCATAGGGAATGTGGGTGAATTTTGCTAGGTACACAGGAAAGGATACACGTGGTAGAAAGAAGTGAAAATCCATCTTATGGTCTCAGAACCATGAGAAAGTGATGAGGATTCTGTAAGAATGTCAGAACACGGAAGAGGACATGCAGACACAGTTTGGTGCACACGTGTATGTCCATGGAGAAAAAGCTCTAAATGGCTGCACACTGCCCACCACCATCACTGCTGCCACCTCTGCAGCCCCCTGCCAACCCTTACTGGAATTTACCTGGGTTGTTCATTCTGTGCAGCTGCAAACTCCCCTCATCTGCAGTTTCCTGTGAGGTGGCTCTCACCCTGTGATGCCAGGTGGCCGTGTGAGGTGGCCTCACACCGTGATGCCAGGTGGCCGTGTGAGGTGGCCTCACCCCGTGATGCCAGGTCGCCGTGTGAGGTGGCTCTCACCCCGTGATGCCAGGTGGCCGTGTGAGGTGGCTCTCACCCCGTGATGCCAGGTGGCCGTGTGAGGTGGCTCTCACCCCGTGATGCCAGGTGGCCGTGTGAGGTGGCTCTCACCCCGTGATGCCAGGTGGCCGTGTGAGGTGGCTCTCACCCCGTGATGCCAGGTGGCCGTGTGAGGTGGCTCTCACCCCGTGATGCCAGGTGGCCGTGTGAGGTGGCTCTCACCCCGTGATGCCAGGTGGCCGTGTGAGGTGGCTCTCACCCCGTGATGCCAGGTGGCCGTGTGAGGTGGCTCTCACCCCGTGATGCCAGGTGGCCGTGTGAGGTGGCTCTCACCCCGTGATGCCAGGTGGCCGTGTGAGGTGGCTCTCACCCCGTGATGCCAGGTGGCCGTGTGAGGTGGCTCTCACCCCGTGATGCCAGGTGGCCGTGTGAGGTGGCTCTCACCCCGTGATGCCAGGTGGCCGTGTGAGGTGGCTCTCACCCTGTGATGCCAGGTGGCCGTGTGAGGTGGCTCTCACCCCGTGATGCCAGGTGGCCGTGTGAGGTGGCTCTCACCCTGTGATGCCAGGTGGCCATGAGCCACCAACTGTGAATCTGCCATCCAGTGATCCAACCTACATCTGCAAGATGGCTGAGGGGACAGAAACTTCTCTGCCCTTCCTAACCCTTACCCCTCCCCAGCACCAACACTTCCTGGTAATGCTACTGCTCCTTCCCATCAAACAAGGACTATCCTCACTTGTTCCAACTGCCTTCCTTATCAGTAGATCTCATGGACTCTGGGTAACTCTTAAAAGAAGGAAACGCATTCAAATTTCTCCCCACAGAATGCAGTCTCAGGGAGCAGCCTCTGCATCACCTTCGGAGCTGCCATCCCTGCCCTCCCAGTCCCTCCATGGTGTGTCCTTCCTGCTCCTGCCTCTTCACACAGTACTCATCCCAGCCATCCTTCCAAACCACTGTCCTTTCCTCACGCCCTGGCCTGTGTCATGACACGGTTTCCTCTTCTCTTTCCTTCCCCTGTCTGCTGGACCCCCTGCCTCTCACCCTCCAGGATATCCTCCAATGTTCCTCCTCCAGGAAGACCCCCTTGTCCATCCCATCCCAGGTCTGATGCCTGTCCCCTGAGTTCTCAAGGGCAGCTCTGTACTTGCAGTTAATTTCCGTTAATTTTCCTGATTCCTCACTTGTCTTAAATATCTGATTTGGAAATTGTCTATGTTGTTCCCCTGTGAACCCCACACAAGCTGTGGACAAAGAGCAACACAGGAGATTTTGTTTTTTATTGTATTTCACTAGTGAATCCGTGACTCCCCTAACCAAATTCGTGCCCAGTTTCCTACACACTCCATGTCTCTTTCAATCTCTTTCCATCTGAAGAGGGTTAGTCCTTGACATGAGCCTGCTTCTTGTCCTCCCTTCAGTTCTCCCACCAGGATGTGAACCCTGAGTCTGCCCAGCCATGTCTCCAGCCTCCCCATTCTCAGTGCACTGCAGAGCCCCTCTCTTGGGCCATGCTGCTTCTACCTCATCTGTCCCTCTTCTGTTCTTCTGGACAGTTTTGTGCTCACAGACCTAGGAGAAGTATTTTGTTTTCTAAAATTCACCTACAATACTATGGCCCCCTTGATAAATATTTCCAACTTTATTGTCATATGTCATCATTTTTATTCGTTCCTTTTTTCTCCAAATTTTATCACAATAGCTCTAAGCCTACTGGTAGCCATGACATCCTTTCCTTTCTTTCTTATAGAGAGAGAGTGTCTAGCTCTGTTGCCCAGGTTGGAGTGCATTGGTGTGATCAGGGCTCACTGCAACCTCTGACTCCTGGGTTCAAGTGACTCTCCTGCCTCAGCCTCCCAAGCAGCTTGGATTCCAGGTGTTCACCACCACACCTGGCAAATTTAGTATTTTTAGTACAGATGGGGTTTCAACATGTTGGTGAAGTTGTTCTTGAACTTCTGACCTTGTGAGTACTGGGATTACAGGCGTGAGCCACGGCGCCTTGCCTGTTCAGTTTTTAACACTCAGATAAATGTGTCTAAATTAAAGTATGTCTCTGTTGTAATCATGAGACGCACAACACAAATTCATCTTGTGGGACATTCTAGAAAATACCTAAGCCGGGCACGTTGGCTCAAGTCTGTAATCCCAGCACTTTAGGAGGCTCAGATGGGTGGATCACGAGGTCAAGAGATTGAGACCATCCTGGTCAACATGGTGAAACCCCATCTCTACTAAAAATACAAAAAAATTAGCTGGGCATGGTAGCGCGTGCCTGTAATCCCAGCAACTCAGGAGGCTGAGGCAGGAGAATTGCCTGAAGGCGGAGGTTGCGGTGAGCCCAGATCACGCCATTGCACTCCAGCATGGGTAACGAGAGTGAAACTCCGTCTCAAAAAAAAAGAAAAGAAAATACCTAATGGTTACTTTTCAAATGAGTTCAGCTTATACAAAATAATCAAACACTGAGAAACTGTTGCAGGTTGGAAAAGATCTGTCAGAGCAGGCAGACCCTAAAGTGGCCCCTATTGAATCCCACCTGCTGATCAACACAACCCTGCATTCTAATCTTCTCCCTGTAAGTGTGAGCAGGAAGCTTGACTTATTCTGACACAGGAGAATAGTGCACCGCTGAAGGTATGTCACGTGGCTAATTATGCTATGTAAAATGGTTCTTTCTGTCTTGCTAGCAAACCTTTCCCTTTGTAGCTTTCATGGAGCATTCTGCCATGTGGGGGAAGCCAACATGGGAAGGAGCTGAATGCAGCCTCTGGAAAAGAGCCATCAAGGAATGGAGGACCTTAATCCAATAGCCAGTCCTTAAATTTACAATTAACTCAAACTCCGTTTCAAATAAGAATCTATCAGTTCACAAGGAGTGTGAGTTGCTTATAATAAGAAAACAACCCTAATTTGTACCTTCGGTAATTCGTACTATTGATTTATTGCGTTTATATGTGAGCACTCATGCACACACACACACACATACATGCACACACTCAAACTGTAAACATAAGAATACCTCATCAAATAAGTGGTTACAATTTTTGTTGTCAGTAAACTGTTATCTGTTACGTCAACTAAAATACGGAAAAGGTTTTACTTCATATGACAACCATAATGATATTTTTAAATCAAAGGAAAACGTAACCGATATACTAAGAAGAATAGATTGGATCATATACAATTTTATATTAAAACCATAAAGGGAAGGAAAGAATGTAAGAAAGGAAGAGCACATTGTGTTAACTCAAATGTCAGGCACAAAAAGACAAATGCGTCATGATCTTACTCACGCGAAATCTAAAAAACGTGATTCCATACAAGTGAGTGCAGAACGGTCGTTCCCATAACCTGGGTTGGGGTGGGGTTGGGCAGATGTTTGCGGAGGAATATGAAATTTCAGTCAGAAAGGAGGAAGAATTTCAAGAGATCTACTGTGCAACATGGTCTCCATAGTTAGTAACATATGGTCTTATTTTTTAAATGCTGAAAGTTACCTGGCCATGGTGGTCTGCACCTGCAGTCCCAGCTACTTGGGAAGCTGAGGCAGGAGGATTGCTTGGGCTTAGGAGGTCGACACTGCAGTGAGCTATGATAGAACCACTGTACTCCAGCCTAGGTGCAGAGGGAGATCTGTGTCTATTTTTAAAAAATGCTAAAAAGTGGATAGAAAATGTTCTCAGCACAAAAATGATAACTATGTGAGGTAACACCCATGTTAATTAGCTGGATTTCGCTCATTCTTACTCAGACCTGATGGCATACATAGTATATATATATCTCATTTTATCTGTTAATTAATAAAAATGGAGATACATATTAACTAAAAGTAAATAGATGGAACAAAATATAGCAAGCAAATAGAAGAAGCAGGACTGGCTGTATTAATGTCAGAAAAAGCTGACTATAACGTCAGGAAATTATCAGGGAAACAGAAGAGCATTACATCATAATGGGGCCACTTATCCAGGAACATGAGATGATTGTAACATGTAGTACCACAACATAAAACTCTGACGCAGAAACTGTTAAAAAAAGGAAACAGAGATGAATCCACTAATTACGGTCAGTGACTTTAACACTTTAATTCTGTGAGAATTAAAATCAAAACCCTAAGCCCCTCAACTGACTCAACAGAGAGAACACTAGGGAAACCGTCACAGCTGAGCTTCCGGCAATGATCAGAGAGGAAGCGGGACATGCCTCGTTGTCAAGTGTCTCCTTTGCAGTTTAGACACGACAACTGACCAGCATCGATGTTAAAAGGTCAAAAGAATGAAGAATGGACTCATCTTGGTGGCGATAAGATATCAAATTATAAAGAGACCTAAGGCCACGCCAGGCAAGGGTTAAGTCACTCACCCCTGCACTTGAAGAATAAACTATGTTCTAATTGAAACTGACAGGTTTATCTTTTTCTCTAGCAGCTAAGCAAGTAATGACTTCCAGATAAGCAATCTTAACACAATTTGTAGCTCATCCACCGCCAGATGCTGACTCCAGCCCCTGTTCCAACAGCCATAATTGTAGCCTTGATTGCACAGGAGACTGATATTAGTAACTTTCCCCTGATAAGAGCCCACCAACCATGGACTGCGTCTGACTGGCTTACGGAGATTGTGTACGTGCCTGCCTTTGTGTGCTGAAAAGGGCTTTTGTCTGTAGGGCCTAACTGTAATACATTTAAATGCTAAGTCTTGGCCGGGTGCAGTGGCTCAGGCCTGTTATCACAGCACTTTGGGAGGCCAAGGTGGGCGGATTACCTGAGGTCAGGAGTTCAAGACCAGCCTGGCCAACATGGCGAACATCTTCTCTACTAAAAATACAAATATAAGCTGTGCTTGGTATCTGGCAGGTGCCTGTAATCCCAGTTGTTTGGGAAGCTGAGGCAGGTGAATCACTTGAACCCAGGAGGCAGAGGTTGCAGTGAGCCAAGATGGCGCCATGGTACTCCAACGTGGGGGACAGAGTAAGACTGCGTAAAAAAAAAAAAAAAGAGAGAAAACGTTGTCTCCACATCAAGGTGAACATGCATGTTTGTGCAGTATACATGCCGTAGGGCCGCCTTCAAGAATATTTGTAGCTCTTTTTCTTTCCAAATTTATAGATCTCATGATTTTTATACTAATAAATATATGCCCTAAAACCACAATAAAATTAAGCTGATAATCATCAAAGGCAGATACCTGGTAAACATCAAAATACATGGAGATTAACTAACCCCCGTTTAGCAACACATAATGCAAGAAATCTTAAGAGAAAATTAAACAATATGTTGAACTACATTCAATTTAAATGATTTTTATCAGAATTTGGAGCATGCAGTAAGGGAGTAGAGGGGGAATATGCATCTATTAAAAATAAAAACATCGGCTGGTGCAGTGGCTCACACCTGTAATCACAACATTTTGGGAGGCTTAGCTGGGCGGATCACCTGAGGTCTGGAGTTGGACCAGCCTGTCCAACATGGTGGAACGCTGTCTCTACTAAACACACAAAAATTAGCCGGGCATGGTGGCGGGAGTCTGTTATCCCAGCTACTAGGGAGGCTGAGCCAGGAGAATGGCTTGAATCCAGGAGGTGGAGGTTGCAGTGAGCCCAGATCATGCCATTGTACTCCAGCTGGGTGACATGAGCAAAACCTAGCCTCACACACACAAAAAAGAAAACATCTGAAAATCAATCACCTAAATTTCCTCCTTAGGAAGCTTAAAAGGTAAATCTAGCAAACTGAATGCACAGTAAACAGGAGAAAAGAGAAACTACTGTAAATAAAGTGAAAGATAAAAGATAAAGGAAAAGGAATTTTCAAAGGAATATAGAGTTCAATCATTTCCAGAACACAGATGTGTCCAAGTTAACTAGGGAAACACAACACCCTAAACTGAACTCCTGCTCATCAATGTGCAGGGCTGGCTCCCCCTGAGATGAGGAGACATGAATCTTCAGGAATGATTAACCAAAGGCAGACCAAGCAGGGCAATTCATTTAGCTACTAAAGTGGAAAATACGGTAGCCAGGAATAATCCACCCATAGGGAATGTGGGTGAATTTTGCTAGGTACACAGGAAAGGATACACGTGGTAGAAAGAAGTGAAAATCCATCTTATGGTCTCAGAACCATGAGAAAGTGATGAGGATTCTGTAAGAATGTCAGAACACGGAAGAGGACATGCAAACACAGTTTGGTGCACACGTGTATGTCCATGGAGAAAAAGCTCTAAAAGGCTGCACACTGCCCACCACCATCACTGCAGCCACCTCTGCAGCCCCCTGCCAACCCTTACTGGAATTTACCTGGGTTGTTCATTCTGTGCAGCTGCAAACTCCCCTCATCTGCAGTTTCCTGTGAGGTGGCTCTCACCCCGTGATGCCAGGTGGCCATGTGAGGTGGCTCTCACCCCGTGATGTCAGGTGGCCGTGTGAGGTGGCTCTCACCCCGTGATGTCAGGTGGCCATGTGAGGTGGCTCTCACCCTGTGATGCCAGGTGGCCGTGTGAGGTGGCTCTCACCCTGTGATGTCAGGTGGCCATGTGAGGTGGCTCTCACCCTGTGATGCCAGGTGGGCATGTGAGGTGGCTCTCACCCTGTGATGCCAGGTGGCCCTGTGAGGTGGCTCTCACCCTGTGATGTCAGGTGGCCATGTGAGGTGGCTCTCACCCTGTGATGCCAGGTGGCCATGTGAGGTGGCTCTCACCCTGTGATGCCAGGTGGCCATGAGCCACCAACTTTGAATTTGCCATCCAGTGATCCAACCTACATCTGCAAGATGGCTGAGGGGACAGAAACTTCTCTGCCCTTCCTAACCCTTGCCCCTCCCCAGCACCAACCCTTCCTGGTAATGCTACTGCTCCTTCCCATCAAACAAGGACTACCCTCACTTGTTCCAACTGCCTTCCTTATCAGTAGATCTCATGGACTCTGGGTAACTCTTAAAAGAAGAAAAGGCATTCAAATTGATTTTCTCCCCACAGAATGCAGTCTCAGGGAGCAGCCTCTGCATCACCTTCGTCTCTCCTTTTGTCTGAAGAGTGTTTGTACTTGAAGGTGAACTTGTTTTTGGTACTCTGGTCTGTTCTCAGGTCAGGATGTGAGCCCTGACTCTGCCCAGCCTTGTCTCCAGCCTCCCCATCCTCAGTGCACTGCAGAGCCCCTCTCTTGGGCCATGCTGGTTCTACTACAACCTCTTCTGTTCCTCCTGACAGTTTTGTGCTCACAGACCCAGGAAAAGTATTTTGTCCTCTATAATTCACCTACATTAATATGGCTCCCTTGATAAATATTTCCAACTTTATTTTCTTATTTCATCAGTTTTATTCTTTTCTTTTCCAAATTTTATCACACTAGCTGTTAGCCTAGTTGCAGTCATGATATCCTTCTCTTTTCTTTTCTTTCTTTCTTTTTTTTTTGTGCTAGGGTCTCTCTCTGTTGCCTTGGCTGGAGTGCAGTGGCATGATCTTGGCTCACTGCAACCTCTGCCTTCTGGTTTCAAGTGATTCTCCTGCCTCAGCCTCCTGAGTAGCTGAGATTATACGCTTGTGCCACCATACCCAGCTAATTTCAGTATTTTTAGTATAGACGGGTTTTCACCATGTTGGTCAGGTTGATCTTGAACTCCTTACCTCGTGATCTGTCCACCTTAGCCTCCCAAAGTGCTTCAATTACAGGGGGAACCACCATGACTGGCCCATTACATGCTTTTTTTTTTTTTTTGAGATGGAGTTTTGCTCTTGTTACCCAGGCTGGAGTGCAATAGCGTGATTTCAGCTCACCACAACCTCCGCCTCCTGGGTTCAGGCAATTCTCCTGCCTCGGCCTCCTGAGTAGCTGGGATTACAGGCACGCGCCACCATGCCCAGCTAATTTTTTGTATTTTTAGTAGACATGGGGTTTCACCATGTTGACAAGGATGGTCTCGATCTCTTGACCTCGTGATCCACCCGCCTCGGCCTCCCAAAGTGCTGGGATTACAGGCGTGAGCCACCGCGCCCGGAAACCCATTACATGCTTTTAATTGTCTGCATCAACTTGTGCTGAAATCTGCCGTCATTTTCTGGTAGGATCACCTGCTTCAACACTTGCAGAACAGGTGTGAACAGGAATGGTGCAAATCGCACAGAAAATGCTGCAGCCTCTTTAAGAAATGTTTTATTACCATCATTCTTTATGCCACAGTGTGATGAAGAGATACAGGATTCTGCATTAAAGTTTGGGTTACCACTATAATAACCACAATTTCGAGATATCTATTAATTCACCTATGAATTAATTTCAAGATTGTTTATATTTTTACGTGACTAAAACTTATGCTTTTATAACTATGTAAGGGCTTTTAAAATAAATATTACATAGGCTTTTATATGTTGATTAGTCATGCCCCTGAAAATGATATTTTATTCTGTCAAGGAAAGACACATATAGGAGGGTACGCTCAGAAGATTATAATAGAGCTGAACTTCCTTTGACCTAGAGATTTCAGAGCTGTCACAAAGTCATATCGCAATTACTTTCTATTTTAAGAAATTAAGTGTAGCCTTGATTTAAAGTGTTTCAAAAATGTACATTAGTGTACGTTAATGTCCTAGGTCTTCACACTCTCTCACCACTTAGAGACTCGCCCAGAACTTCCAGTCCTACAAGCTCCATGCATGTGAAATGCCCTATACAACTGAAAAATATTTATTGTTTTATACCACATTTTGCGTTGTCTATGTTTAAATAGGTTGTATGGTTTTTTTTCCCCTATTTTTTTCTGCCTCGAGCAGACTCTGAGGTTTTTTGTTTTTGTTTTTAGACAGAGTTTTACTCTTGTTGCCCTAGCTGGAGTGCAACGGTGCGATCTTGACTCACTGAACCTCTGCCTCCCGCGTTCAAGTTATTTTCCAGCCTCAGCCTCCCAAGTAGCTAGGATTATAAGTATGTGCCACCATGCCCGGCTAATTCTGTATTTTTAGTAGAGATGGGGTTTCTCCATGTTGCTGAGGCTGGTCTCAAACTCCTGACCGTCAGGTGATCCACCCACCTCAGCCCTCTAAAGTGCTGGGATTATAGGCACGAGCCACCTACTTATCATTATGTTACAATTGCCTATAGTATACAGGATATATGTGTGCTGTATAGGCTTATAACTTAGGAGCAATAGAAAATACCGGCCCGGCGCGGTGGCTCACGCCTGTAATCCCAGCACTTTGGGAGACCGAGGTGGGCAGATCATGAGGTCAAGAGATCGAGACCATCCTGGCCAACATGGTGAAACACCGTCTCTACTAAAAATACAAAAAATTAGCCGAGCGTGGTGGTGTGTGCTTATAGTCCCAGCTACTCTGGAGGCTGAGGCAGGAGAATTGCTTGAAACCAGAAAACAGAAGTTGCAGTGAGCCAGGATTGCACCATTGCACTCCAGCCTGGCAATAGAGCAAGACTGTCTGAAAAGAAAAAAAAAAAAAAGAGAGAAAATACCATATAGCCTGGAAGTGTAGTAGGCTATGACCTCCAGGTTTGTGTAATGCTCTCTCTGTTTGCATGCCGATGAAATCACCACACAATGCATTTCTTTGAAGGTATTGCCATAATCAAGCCATGCATCACTGCGCTTTCACAGAGATATTATCCTTTTATTTATTTATGTTTTTGAGATAGGGTCTCACTGTGTTGCCCAGTCTAGAGCACAGTGGCACGATCTCAGCTCAGTGAAACCTCCACTTCCCAGGTGCAAGTGATTCCCGTGCCTTTCCAGTGCACAGCCGCTCTGCAATATCCCCAAGGATGAAGGGCAGCCCAGCAGAGGTGAAGGAAACGGGTATAATGGGTCGAACTACCCCACCTCGTCCCAAACCTGCATTTCCTATGACTTCTTGTTATCTGTGGCTGGTGAACTCATTACACTTTATAATACATGGGCTTCCTGACTTCCTATGATTCAACTTAAAAATTTTAAAATTAAACAGAAGCAATATACATTAATGGAAAGTATATTTTGAGCATCCGGTCTTTCTGTTTCTCCATTTCAGTACAGTAGGCAATAAATTACATGATATATTCAACATTTTATGATAAAATAGGCCTTGTGTGGATGATTTCCAAAACCTTAGGCTAATACAAGTGTTTTGATCATATTTAAGGAGGATAGGCTATGCTAAGATTTTAAGGAAGTTAGGTGTATTCAACGCATTTTTATTGATATTTCCAACTTATGATGGGTTTATCTGGAAGTAACCTCATCATGAATCAATGAGCTTCTGTAATTTAAATGGAGCTTTCTATTTATGCATGAATGGCACAATTCTCATTAAAAATAAGTAGAAATGAGTAAGCCTTATCTCCTCTGTTTGTTTCCCACAAAACCTCCAATTTCCTTCAAATTTGGGAATCTTGTCTCTTTTCTTCACCTATATAAATACCAGTTTTCATCGAGTTGCTCTCCACATACAAGGAAATTAAAGTTAATGGTGTCAGATCATAATACAACAAAAGAATGAAAATGAAGAGTAATTTTTAAAAATTCGTTTGTTCATTTATTATTATTTTTTTATTAAGGTCTGCCCTTGACATTCTTTGTATGGAGGACTGAAATACAGAGGCCCTGACTGCAGCATTGCCTGGCAAACAAATGTTTATCTGTCAGAGGCATGTGAACCAGAGCAACTCCATCTTAAATGGGGCTGGGTAAAACGAGGATGACGCCTACTGGGCTGTATTCCCAGATGGTTAAGGCATTTTGAGTCACATGATGAGACAGAAGATCGGCACTAGATACAGGTTATAAAGATCTTGCTGATGAAACAGGTTGCAGTAAACCGGCCAACGAAAACCCGCCAAAACCACCATGACAGTGGCAAGAGTGACCTCTGGTCATCCTCACTGCTACACTCCCACCAGCACCATGACAATTTACAAATGCCACGGCAATGTCAGAATGTTACCCTATGTGGTCTAAAAAGGGGAGGCATGGATAATCCACCCTTTGTTTAGCATGTAGTCAGTAAACAACCATAAAAATGGGCATCGGGCAGCCTTCAGGACTGCTCTGTCTATGGGGCAGCCATTCTTTTCTTCCTTTACTTTCTTAATCTTGCTTTCACTTTACTCTGCAAACTCACCCTGAATATCAAGAACCCTTGGGGTCTGGATAGGGACCCCTTTTCTGTAACACAGCTATTAATTTGGCATATAAATATCCATAAAGTATCAATGCTGTTTGTTGGTTTCTCAAATCTTAATACACCTTTAACAAATGCCCCCAGAATTGCTTTTAGTCCATTTGATTGCGAATTTCATTACTTGTATGAAATCCACTAGTGAGTCTCAAGAGGCTCACCCTGTAGGAATGCTTCATTCACTAGAGAATGTGTTCCTCTCAGGGGCTGGGCGCGGTGGCTCACGCCTATAATCCCAGCACTTTGGGAGGCCAAGGCGGGTGGATCACGAGGTCAAGAGATCGAGACCATCCTGGTCAACATGGTGAAACCCCGTCTCTACTAAAGATACAAAAAATTAGCTGGCCATGGTGGCACGTGACTGTAGTCCCAGCTACTCAGGAGGCTGAGGCAGGAGAATTGCCTGAACCCAGGAGGCGGAGGTTGCGGTGAGCCGAGATCGCACCATTGCACTCCAGCCTGAGTAACAAGGGCGAAACTCCGTCTCAAAAAAAAAAAAAAAAAAAAAAAAGAGAATGTGTGCCTTTCAATACAATCTTCTTGGCATTTGTACAATTTACAATACAGGCCCTACATCAATTCTGGCCTGCTTTCTGAAGCCCTAAATTGTTTCTTCAGGAGGAAATCCATGTTCAACTTAGGTTGAGGAATCCCATTTTCACTACCCAGGACACTAAGCCATTGATTTGAAACCACCTTTGTAAAAAATTGTAACTGAGAAATTTATTACAGTGAAAGAGATCTGACCTAACCGACTCCATCTTGCTTCTAACCTCCAAGCTGCTGTTGTTCATGCTCCAGTAACTTCCCGAGGTATTCAGTTTATAGTTTAGCGTTTCAACAAAGACAGCAACAGCCCTTTTCCAAAACAAAGACCGTAACAGCCATTTCCCAAAACAAAACCCCTCCATCTTGCCTTTGTAGGACTTGCAAATCCGCTACAAGATTAGAAATTACGGTTTAGGATTCATGCAGCTGGAGACTGCAGGATTCTAAATCTCCTCAAATGCTCCTGGGGATGACATCACTATTGTGAAACCTAAGATCAGTCAGTGCTTGAGATATTTTGCAGACGCTGCAGTCAATCGATCAGCTGACACCACCCATATTGATAAACTAGCTCATCTAATCGTATGGCTCCAACCAGGGAAGTGACTCAGCGCAAGAGGGCAGCTTCCACTCCCTATGATTTCATCTCCGACCTGACCAATCAGCACTCCCTATTTTCCGACCCACTACCCACCAAATTATTCTTAGAAACCCCAGATCCGCTCCAGGAAGACTGATTTGAGCAATAATAAAACTATGATTTCCTGCACAGCCAGATCTGCCTGAATTGTTGTTTCTCTATTATAGTTCCCCTGTCTTGATAAATCGGCTGTCTAGGCAGCCAGCAAGGTGAATCCCTTGGGTGGCTACAGATTCACATACAAACTACTTCAGAGGAGTGTCAAAGGTTTATCCTAAACAATGGACATCAAAGCAGAAGATAACCAATACAAAGGTGTTACATTATTGACAGAGTAAAGAAACAGAAAAGAAAATCCCCAAATACAAGCATGAAAACTTAAAACATGCTAATTAATAATAGAAAATCAGTAAGGGCTGCAATTTCCTTATTACAAGACCATATTATACAACTATATACTACCTGGATATGGATGACAACGTTTTCTGAATGACATTCTTAGTTCAAAGGAAACAACAACAAAAACAAAACAAAATAGTAATCACTCATCAAAGAGTAAGAAAAACATACATATCTATATTATTGGTTATCTGGGCAAACATCACGCAGACAATTAGAAAATCAAGTTGGAGAAAAATAATCAAAGACTCTAGCCAATATCTACAGTTTTTGGGTAAGGAGAAAAGCAAACAACATGACGACATTTCTATTTGCGCAGTGCGGAGTGACCGCCTCTACATTTCGAATGGGAGTCGCAGTGTTCTGTCTACACAAATTAATTCTTTTTCCATCTTTTATGATTAAAACAAGCGAAACCATATAACGAAAATAATCACAGCCTTTACTAAAGCATGCAATTCTGAGCATATTTGATCTTGTGCCTCATAGAAAATCCTGTTCCTCTCCTTTTCAACCAGAGATGTTTCATAGGAAATTTCTCGACAACACTAAAAAGCGCGTAACGTCTGCTTTTCCTCATAAAAGTAATATTTCCATTCCACAAGTAAAGAATGATAATGGAAAAGATGAAAATAACTGAAAAGATATTATGAAGAAATAATTATGAATGTATTTTAAAATATAAAAACGAAAGGCGTTAATACGGAATTTGGTTTTAGATGATGTTTATGTGAAATTATAAAAAAGAAAACTACATATAAGTGTTAAAGGTAATATGGGCCTTAAAAACACAAAAGCAAGAATGAATATTACCAGGAAAGCCTGAAGCTGTTAAGGGTTCTCGACCAGCAAGCAGAATGACTGGAGAGAAAAGCCTTTCTTATGCAAAAGAACCGCATTCCTCATACAGCTCCAGAGGGCAGCCAGGGAACAGCTGGCCTTGCCACTGCAGACCCCACAGAAGGCTCTGAGCTCAGCTGCAGTGGCTGCAGCCCCGCCCTTGGTGGGCGTGGTCTGCAGCAGGAGGACCGCATTCCTGGGGCAACTGCGCTTGCGCAAGAGAGATGTCTGCAGGGGTTTCTGCCACCTCTGGTGGTTGCTGGGTGGGTAGAAAATCCCAAAGGCTTCAGAATGAGGGAATCCTAATGAGGGGTGTTGACATCTCATAAAATCTATTGAGAATGGACTAAGCAAATAAAGCAGGAAATTATGTTGGGGGGGTTGCCTAAGATTCACAAGGACATTGAAGACATAAGTGTCAACAGTAATATTGAATTCTAAATTCTCCTCTTTATTCAAGGCACAACTGAGAATATTGGCGTAGGTGCAAGGCATACAGGTTTTTGCTTTTTCTTCCTTATACAGTAGCACACTGGGTTAAGAGAAGGCCCTAGAGAGAAAATTCTTATGTTAAATTAAGTTTCTTACTAATGTGTGATTTTCACAAAGAGAAATAAACTAATAGGAAAAAAGGGAGAGATCAAATCAGACACCTGCATAGATACACAAATAATTTATGAGATTAATTGGGGAAATACCAGTTTTTCAATAAATATTCCAAGCAATATATTCACATGGAAAAATAAAATCTGATCTATAACCTCACATTACACATGAAATCGTTCCTAGGTGGATCTTAGACCTAAATATTAAATCAATTTAACACAAGATTTACATCTAATTTGGGAACACAACTTCATGGAGTAGAGTAACGTTTCTTTTTTCTTTTTTTGAGATAGTCTTACTCTGTTGCCCAGGCTGGAATGCAGTGGTGCAATTTTGGCTTACTGCAACCTCTGCCTCCCTGGTTGAAGCAATTATTCTGCTTCAGCCTCCTGAGTAGCTGGGACTACAGGCAACCACCAGCACCCTGGCTAACTTTTTGTATTTTTAGTAGAGATGGGATTTTGCCATGCTGTCCAAGCTGGTCTTGAACTCCTGACCTCAGGTGATCTGCCCACCTCAGCCTTCCAAAGTGCTTAGATTACAGCATGAGCCACCGTGCCTGGCCCTAGAGTACATTTCTTAATCTGGTCCTAGAATGTATTTTCCATACAAAAAAAGGTATTCTAACACACTTGGTTTAAGTAAAGACTTCGAAAACAGACCCAGTCAAACTCAAGTTTCATCCATTCCTTTCTTGTAGGGCTTTAGATCAAATTCAGAAGGGGAACATGGGGGTCAAACTGGTGCTGATCTCTTGAGACACCCTGAGGATTAAATAAACTAATAATGCATAAAACCTGCAGATTAATATCAAGTCTACATGAAAGAATGTATTATTTGCCGATACTGACATAAATAGTAATTGCAAAATGTTATTTACAATTGTAAGCTGCACCGTTACATGTCACAATGGAGAATAAAACCGTTGATAAACTGTGATGTGAGTACTTCTTATTGCTTACGGTTTTTGCCTCTCAACTATTAAAAATAACTTACATAAATATGGATATTGGTCTCTTCTATGATGAAATGAGACGGGAAATATCAGCAAAATACACTCACCAAGGTATTCCTGAACCTTCTCCAATTTGGATCAATTGATTCTGAGTCACGTTTCCCCTCATCTTATCCATGATTTTCCCCACTTGTAATCATCTGTACTAATCATAAGCTTTGTTGATGCCTCATTTCTTGTGAATTTTTTTTTTTTTTTTTTTTTGAGATGGAGTTTCGCTCTTGTTACCCAGGCTGGAGTGCAATGGACCGATCTCGGCTCACCGCAACCTCCGCCTCCTGAGTTCAGGCAATTCTCCTGCCTCAGCCTCCTGAGTAGCTGGGATTACAGTCACGTGCCACCATGCCCTGCTAATTTTTTGTATTTTTAGTAGAGACGGGGTCTCACCATGTTGACCAGGATGGTCTCGATTTCTTGACCTCATGATACACCTGCCTCGGCCTCCCAAAGTGCTGGGATCACAGGCGTGAGCCACCGCGGCCGGCCTCCTGTGAAATTTCTACGCTACTCTCTGTGAGATTATTTATCCCACCTCCTGTCACTCCCTCTGCAAGTTTTGATGATACCACCAGCAAAGGTCAGTGGAAAGTTTTTAGAACAAATTTACGTGTGTGTACATGATGACAACCATGCTATGACTGTTCTCTGGTCAATAATGTTTTAACCTTACCCATTTTAAGGTACATCCCTATTTGAAATATGTGAAAATGTACTCTCTAGTATCAAAGTAATACACTGTTTTTCTCTCTATTTCTCACTGTAATATTGGCATTGCTGATCTGCTGTATTATGGCATTTTGTTAAAGAAATGCACTCGAATGTATTTTTGTATAAATTGACCAAGACCATTTACCTTCTACATTGAACCACTGGATTTACTATTTTATATGTTGTTCTGAATTTCTATAATTTTATGTTCTCTGGGCATCCATTTAGAATCAGGTGTAACTTGTAACTTGGCTCATACCCGAAGTAGGATACAGTCACCCTTGACTCTATTTCCAGTTCTTTGCCTCCTCCCAGTTCCTCAATGTGATTCATCCAAATATTTATACAGCTGCCTCCTAATGACCACCTCCCTATGGAACAGTCAAATATAACTCTAGAGGTGCCACAATGACTCCAAAACCCCTGTGGATGGTACTGATATGCCACAGTGACCACGCCCCTGTCACCATGTGATTCTATGGGACTTGAGATTCCTTGCTCAAAACTCACCAGTTAGAATCCCATGTGAGAAAACTGCCTGTGTAACATGATGGACCCCAATAAGGGCTTCAATCCCCTGGTCCCTCACACTCTTTCTCCCTTTGCTCCCCACCGCAATTTGTGGGTATACGTCCAGGATGGCACCCTCTTCCCACTGGCCCACGGAGGCGTGCTGCCCTCTTTAACTGGGTTCTGTAAGTAATACACTGCTTCTGTTATTTCAAATGCTTTCTTGAGTTATTTTCTCCGTATCACACTTGATCTGACTTCTTTCCCATTCAGGAGTCTCCTAGGGTTTGGCTATCTTGGCAGGAATAAACTGGACATGTTCTGACAAGACCCATAAGGTGGTCTGCCAGTATAAACAAGTTTTCTGTGAGAGGGACGTCTGGTCTCAGGTCAGATAATTATGTATTAGGCTGTAAAACAAGATAAAAAGGTATACCCTGAAAGGCACAATGTAAACATCATGAACAAATCCTCTAGAGGCCATTCGAGCAGCACTAGATTTTTTTTCTTCTTTTTTTTTTTGAGATGGAGTTTCACTGTTGTTACCCAGGCTGGAGTGCAATGGCGCGATCTCGGCTCACCGCAACCTCCGCCTCCTGGGTTCAAGCAATTCTCCTGCCTCAGCCTCCTGAGTAGCTGGGATTACAGGTGAGGTAGTACCTGTAATTAGTACCACCATGCCCAGCTAATTTTTGTATTTTTAGTAGAGACGGGGTTTCACCTTGTTGATCAGGATGGTCTCGATCTCTTGACCTCGTGATCCACCCGCCTCAGCCTCCCAAAGTGCTGGGATTATAGGCGTGAGCCACTGCGCCCAGCCCTTCTATTTTTTTTTTTATAGAACCCTGTAGCTCAGGCTAGAGTGCAGTGGCATAATTTCAGCTCACTCCGACCTCTGCTTCCCAGGTTCAAGTGCTTCTCTTGCCTCAGCCTCCTGAATAGCCGGGACTACAGGTGCCCACCACCACGCCCAGCTAAATTTGTATTTTTAGTAGAGATGAGGTTTCACCATGTTGCCCAAAGGTCTTGAACTCCTGAGCTCAAGGGGTCCACCCACCTCAGCCTCCCAAGTGCTGGGATTTCAGGTGTGAGCCACTGCTACCTGCCAGTAGGGGTAGAATTAATAGTCACTGGGTTAAAGAGAAACCTCAAGAATGAACTAGAAATAACAAAAATAAAACAATCGTGGAGAGGTGATATACATGCTATATTTCAATAAATGTATAGAGAAGGAAGATGGAAATGGCAAACACTCACTTTGCCACTTCTTCACTGGTAGCTTTCTTCAGAGTTAAAGCTGAATATTGAGAGTATCTATTCTAATCTCAGAAATATGAGCAATGAACCCAATAAGCTGTATTCCAAACCTAATACTTCAATTCACAACAGTTCTCTCTCCAATTTGTTCTACATTTGTCTTTTTCATCATGTAGATGGCGATCTACATTATCACATATAAAGGTGGCCTTTTAAGGGCAATCTTTGCAGACATAAATGCATCATTGTTTTTAAAAATTGTTTTGTTATGTTCTCGCTATGGTTTGAATTTGTGCCCCCTACAAAATGATGCAGGAACTAATCGCAACTGTAGCAGTGTTAAGAGGAGGGGCTATTAAGAGGTAATTAGGCCTTGAGAGCTTTAGCCTCATAAATGGATTCATACCATTGTACTAGGAGTGCGTACATCAAAATAACATAGGAGCCAATTAAAAGACCTTCCAATGGCCAAGAGTAGAAAAATTTAAACAACAAAATAAACTAGCAAAATGTAAGTGTAAATAAATATCCATGTTTGCACAGTGATATAAATAAATGAGTGAAAAACACATGAAACAAATGGAGGAAAATTGACACATTACATGTAGTTTCAAGATTCCAAATTATTTTTGCAGATACTCTTCCCATAAGGAGGTGGAACATGACTTCCCACTTCTTATGTGCTAAGCCTAGTGACTTCTTTTCAAAAGTACAACACACAAAATGTAACAAATAGCAATTTAACAGTGAAGGAATCTGATAAGACATAATTCATACAGGTAATCAAATTAAGGTCAACATGATAAAAAGTTATACCCTGAAAGGTATGATTGGT